TGTCCCACTATCATGCTCAGTCCCCACCAGGGTTTCAGCACTTCCTCTTTGTTACATTCCCCTTGATCATGCCCTACCAGGCCTCCCACACCCACCTCACTACCAATTTGGATCAGGTTGTTCCCATTTTCTACACATGTAAAATTCTTCATGAGCTCGTGGTCTGGGAGAAGACATGCTACCTTCTTGCTACATGTGTTTGATTGCCTTTCCGGTGGGTGAGGAGCAGTCCCCCTAAGTGGGATTATGATTGCCCGTGGGGGTGTTTAGCTCTAGTTTGTGTTCAACTGGTCTTGTGCTAATAATTCCTCGTACTGTCTATCTTTCTTACTTAAAGTGATGTTCAGGGTAAAATACTGATGGGCACTGTTTTTTTTCCTAAAAGGAAATAGTGATTTATAAAATTTTTTAGACGATGACAGTAAAATAATTAAAATTTAGAAGCATACTTACATATTTTTCCTTCTTTTTCTAATTTTTTCAAGTGAAGCAAGAGATTGTGTTTAGCTACATTATGCAAATGCTCAGGAGTATCCTGAAGAGAAAATGAATATGAAAACAACCTTTTTTAAAAAAAGGAGTCAACCCTTTTGAGACATTTTAAAGAAAAACAAGATGTAATAAAAGAAGAACAATTTCACTTAAACACCTATTTATATAGTAATAACCCAAATGAGTTTACTTTGCATAGGTTTTGCTTTAGGTCACCACATTCCTACAGATTAAACCATCAGCTCCAGATGCATGGAAGCAGGATAAGCTTGTCTACTACTAACCACCCAGAACTTAGTAGGATGGCACATAGTGCAAAGTCATTAATATTTTACAAATAAATAGCTGCTAAGATTATTCTTTGGTATTCTTAGGTATACGCAATGGTGAATTTGTGAGGTTACATGAATTTTATACATGAGCACAGTTTTTTTGCACATTTTAATAAAAGAATATAAGTTTCAACTTCATGGCAATTTTCATGTTTACTCTGGCTAACATAAAATGTGGTATTTGGCAGCTGTTATCAGAATGACAAAGCAAATGATTCCTTTTATTCTTTACATAAGAGTTGTATTTCTAGAAGAAAAATAACAGACTTGACTAGTGGTCTCAGACCATTAGTCAGGAGTCAGGCTGGGATAGGAAGAAGAGAGGGAAGGGGAAGAGAAGAACACTTCAGAATGATGGGAACTGAGTAACCAGAGAGGGAAGGCTACTCTCACGGATGCAGTCTACACTGTGCTTTAGGGCACTGCATGTATGTTTTGTGTACTTCTTGTGAAAGCCTTGACAGAAGTCTGTTCAAATATGTTGAATTCCTTACAATGAAGTTGGTGAGTTATTTTCCACTTCCTTTACAACCTTTGATGAGTCTTTTGTGACATATGGTTATGTTTTCTTATTAACGGTCAATCCAAACCTCCATCACATCCTTTAAGAGCCCTGGCTCCATGCCCTCCTCTCTCCAAAGATTTCCTTTCTTGAGGCTTCATAAGAAAAAGTAGAGATTTCTAGACATTAACTCATGTATCTTTCCAGCCCCATCCTCAAATGAAAACATGCTCACGTGGGTTAAGCGTTGGGCTGCTAAGGGCAAGGTTGGCGGTTCAAAACCACTAACTTTTCTGCAAGAGAAAGAGGGAGCTTTCTACTCCTGTCAAGATTTACAGTCTTGGAAACCCACAGGGGCACTTCTACTGTCCTATCCTATTGTGTTGCTCTGAGTTGGAATCATCTTGATGTCAGTGGGTGAATGAAACCTGAAAATTGATTCTGAGAAAAAAAAGCAACATCCTTTCCAAAGCACATCTGCTCCTGAGACCATTGCCTTGCTGTCTGTATAAACAGTAGACTTTCAAACACAGTATTTTATTCCAGTTAAACTGTGCTTAGGAACCAAAAGTTAATTTATTAAAATGAAAGTTCAATTCTACAGTACTAGTAAGCAGGATGTTGGGAAAGGTCATTAGAATAGCAATTAGATGGTATGTTAAATATTTGAGCACAGATTTTCCTTAGTACCCAAATCACTCTCAAGAAATCATGTATTGCTGTTAGGATCTATAACTCATCTACTGCAAATCTGTTACATGCTAAGCAGCTAGAGAAACATTATCATTCTCGAAAACTGTATTGCCCAATATAGTCAAAATGAGCCACATGTGGCTATTTAAGTTCTTAAAATGTAATACAACTTGAGAAAGTGGAATCGTTATAAACTGCTGGTAGGATTATAAAATAGAGCAATCACTAATTTTTAAACAGTATGGCAGTTCTTAAACATTAAACCTAGAGTTACCATATAACCCAGTAATTCCACTTCTGGGTGTGTGTATATATACATACATACATACCCCCAAGAGAAATATCATGTCCATATAAAAATTTGAACATGAATATTTATAGAAACATTACTCACAATAGCCCCAAAGTAGAAATGATGTATATTGCCATCAACTGATGCGTGGATAAGATGTGGTATATTCAAACTATGAAACATTATTCAGCCATAAAAGGAAATGACGTATAGAGCTACAACATGAATTAGCCTCAAAAACCTTATGCTAAGTGAAAGCCATGAGTCACAAAACAAAATGAATTATATGATTCTATTTATATGACATGTCCAGAATAGGCAAATCTGTAGAAAAAGAAAGTAAGTAGCAAAGTGGTTGCTAGGGTCAGGGGTGGTGCTAGGGGTGTAGGGGCAGGAAGCTTGGGGGAACGGTGACTGCTAAAGGGGGCAGCTTTCTTTATAGGGTGATGGAAAATCTGTAAAATGGATTGTGGGGATGGTATTATAACTCTGTAAATATATGATTTGTTTTTTCATCTGTTTCTCCATAGACAGATAAACAAGGTAGGGGCCTTGGCCATATTTACTTTTATATTGGCCACAGCCCAGCACTGGTAGTACTACTAAATATTTATTAACTAATAACTATTTGTTTGGTATGATATTAAAAACAAGTGGAATTGCCTTAGTATTTACAACAATCTCAAAAGATTAATAATGTTAGCATTCTCATTTTATCTCTAATGACACTGAGGCTTATAGAAGTTAAATAACTTGACATATAATAGGTGGGAGCCAAAACCCAAAACTCACTGCCCTCAAGTCAATTCTGACTCGAAGCAACTCTGTAGAACTGTGTAGAACAAAGCAGAGCTGCCCCTTTGAGTTTCTGAGGCTGTAAATCAACAGGAATGCAGAAATCCTCATCTTTTGCCTTTGGTGGGGCTGGTAAATTCAAACTGCTGAACTTGTGGCTTGTAGTCCACATGTAATCCACTACATTACCAGAGTTCCTTTGTAGATGGGAGCAGGGAGTTTAAAACTCATTGAATTGAATTAATTCTGACTCACGGCTGCCCCATTTGTGGAGCAGAATTGCTCTGTAGGGTTTTCAAGGGTGTGATTTTTTAGGAAGCGGTTAGGCCTGTCTTCCCAGGTGCTTTTGGGAGGGTTCACATTGCCAACTTTTGGCTAGTAGTTGAGCACTAACTGTGTGCGTCACCCAGGGAAGCCTGACCCAGTGTAGTTTTACTCCAAATCCTATATTCTTTATCTCTAAGCCAGTGGTTCTCAACCTTCCTCATGCCGCGTGCAACCCTTTCATACAGTTCCTCATGTTGTGGTGACACCCAACCAAAAAATTATTTTCGTTGCTACTTCATAACTGTAATTTTGCTAGTTATGAATTGGTGACCCCTGTGAAAGGGTAGTTTGGCCCCAAAGGGGTTGCGAACCACAGGTTGAGAACCGCTGCTCTAAGCTATACTACCTACAGAGCAAACATATAGAAAACCTTTGCTCAAAGATGGAATTACACCAATCAATTGTAACAGAGTGATGTTAAACTATAAAGTGCTTAAAGGTGCGGTGCTCTTTTCCTATATACTGAACCATTCTACTCAGGTTCTTTGATACACATTTTCTCCACCATTAAGCAACTCTGCAACTTCTCAGTGCTATTATCCCAGTATTTGTCCCCATCAGATCACCCCTTCTCACTTGCTACAGGGCAGGAAACCAAATAATCACAAAGATTATACCACTCATTATAAAACTTCACCATCAGGCTGTCAATGATCTCTCCTGCAAAGTCAAGTACATAAGGCTTACTGACTGGCAAGGGATAGCTATTTTTGTTCTTAAGCTTGGTTTTCATTTGTTGGTTTAATTCTTGTGTTCTAGAAAGTTGAGGTTCTTGGTTTCAAATATACAGAAGTGACATTCATTATAAAATTAACATAGATTGGTACTGTCCTGGGATATAGTAAGCTTACCATATTTATAGTCTACTAAATAGATTACACTATTAAAACTGTTTATGTACAAAAAAGATACGCAACAATTACCTTGTAAATAGTTTTTACAAGCTCCATGACTGTAAATGATTGTTCAAAGTTCTCCCTAAACACTGCAAGAATTTGCTGTTCTCGGATATTTCTGTGAGAAATGTACTGTAGAATTTTAGCTGCAGCATCATAGATTACTGGGCCGTGTCCTGAATCAAAGTAGTGATGAAAATTACTTCAGTCAGATTAAAAAAATGCTATGGACATTTGAAGTTAATTCACTCTATTTTAAAATAATTTGTATGGTGTATTGAAAAGGATACAAAATATATTACAAATATGAATTATTTAGAGCGATATAAAGGGACAAAGATTTAAAAATTAGGTACAATGTAAAAAATATCAGAGAAGCATACCAAATAAAACACGAATGTTACAATATACTTAGCAAATATAAAGCAAAATTTTGATACTAAAGGATATAAAACATTTAAAGTACCACTAAAATGAGCAACTATCACAATAAGAAACTTTACATCATATTTACATGTGGCAGATATCCCTCTAAATGTTTCATGTATGTCTTTCTGACAGCCGTCCCAAGAGGAAGATGCTATTTTTACGTCTTCTTTTACAGAAAAATCCAAGGACAGGGAGGGGCAATAACCAGCCCCGGGTCTCAAAGCAAGGGTGGGGTGGAGCTGGGATTCTGGTTCTATCATCTGCGGCTTAAACCACAACGTCAAGCTTACTTATATATGATTATACTCAGAGAACCGAAAAAGCAGCTTCATGGAAACACCAAAATAAATAAATAAATAAAAAGGATTAAGAATGCACTGATAGGGTGCATCAAAGACCAAAAAAATCAGAGCATTGTGAATGAGGGGGTGTGCGGAGTGGGGATCCAGGGCCCATCTGTGGGCAATTTGACGTTCCCTTGAAGAAGGGTTGCAGGGAGGAGACGAGACAGGGTGCTGTATAGCAATGATGAAACATACACATTTTCTCTAGTTCTTGAATGCTTTCTCCCCCCCACTATCATGATCCCAATTCTACCTTACAAATCTGGCTGGACCAGAGGATGTACACTGGTACAGATAGGAACTGGAAACACAGGGAATCCAGGACAGATGAACCCCTCAGTACCAGTGGTAAGAGTGGTGATACTGGGAGGGTAGAGGGAAGGTGAGGGAGAAAGGGGGAGCAGATTACAGGGATCTACATATAACCTCCTCCCTGGGGGATGGACAGAGGAGAAGTGCATGAAGGGAGATGTGGGATAGTGTAAGATATGACAAAATAATAATTTCTAAATTATCAAGGGTTCATGAGACAGGAGGACGCGGGGAGGGAAGGTAAAATGAGGAGTGAATACCAGGGGCTCAAGTAGAAAGCAAATGTTTTGAGAATGATGATGGAAACCAATGTACAAAAGTGCTTGACACAATGGATGTATGTGTGGATTGTGATGAATTGTACAAGCCCCCAATAAAATGATTTAATTAAAAAAATGCACTGATAGAATTTAATGTAAATTTATTATTTTATAATTTTAACATGAAAACAGCTTTATGTATTTATGAATGTAATTCAGCATTTTTGACAATCTGGAAAAAGTTATACTGTAAGTTATTTGCTCTTTTAGATAGTGCAAATCAATCCATTACTCAAGTCTGTAGAAAAAAATGTTTAAGTTATCTGAGAACAAAAAATTCTGGAAATGAGAAATACAGGGAGGAAGTGGGCAGAGTGCTGCTACACGGTGATGCCAATCAGTGCTACTGAACAAAATGTGCATGACTTGATGAATGGAACTGATGTGCTCCATGAGCTTTCCCCCAAATATCGACCAACCTATCTCGGCTTCTATACACCTATCTCTTCTCTCTATCACACACACACACACACACACACACACACACACACATAAAGCAGAACCTAGACACACACACACACACACACCCTACAGCAGGAGAACCTAGTATGTAACACACACACACACACACCTAAAGGAGAACCTAGTATGTATCTCTAGTTAGAACACACACCATTCCTTAGTGGCTGTGTGGCCGTAAGTCACTGAAACTCTCTGAGCCGTCTTGGTGTTTTGTAACGAGGACATCACTACCCACTCCATAGCACTTTTGTGAAGATAACACCCACAACAAAAATCATTGCCACTGAGTCAATCTTGGCACAGAGTGACGCAGAGGACAGGGTAGAACTGCCTTGTGGGTTGCTGAGGCTATAAATCAATACAGACACAGAACACCTCATCTTTCTGCAGAGGAGCTTCTGGTGGGTTCATGCTACTAGCCTTATGGCTAGCAGCCCAGTAGGTAATCTGTTAGCCATCAGGGCTCAGAATGGAAGATGCAAAGTCCCCTGCACAATAGCTCATGGGCAGCAAGTTTTACTATGTGGCAGGGATGACTATAGAACATAATTTATATACCAACTCCTTTTGTGCTAATGAGCCATCCCACTGATTCACTAAAATAAGCACTCTAAGGGCCTTTACTAGGCAGTCACTTGAATGTGAGTGCACTGAACACCCACACTCTTTTCTTTAAAAATAGCCGGCCTTTCCTTTCATGTCATAACGAGAATCCGATGCCAAGCTCCACTGCTTGTCTCGGATCCCCTCGGCAGTAGGAACTCACGGGAAAACGCGAGAGCACAGAAGAACTGGCAGATACAGCTTCTTCTCTGGCTGTTTGGTTAGGAGCAAATCAGAAGAACTTAGAGTATTAGTTAACCAGTCCCCCTTTTCTTCTAAGTCTTCTGGATGAGTCTTGTGTCTGTCGCAGAGTTTTGGAGAAGGGTGGGGGTGGGAGTGTCAATTCTTAACTGAGATGTTAACAGATTTCTTTTTCTGGACAATGGAAATAAAGGTATTATTTTATAGTTGGTGTGGCAGCTACTGATATTCCAACAGTCTGAAATAACGAAAGCTCAGAGGTCTAATGTCACCCAAGCTCAATGGGGTGCACAGTAAAAATCAAGGGAATACAATTGAAAATTGCTTATTTAAAAGATTTTCTGTTCTACGGTAAGGCTATTTCCTTTGTCTTGAGAATAAAACAGCTGTGTGGATATTAAAAACAAGACAGAATCCTCTATCTTAAATCAAACGCTCAATCTTCTCTTAGGTACTGCATGGCTAGATCAGATCTATTGGTGCATTTTAAAGGCACAATTTATCTGTGGCTCTTCAAAGGGAAACACACGGAAACACACCACCACCACCACCACCACCCCCCACTACCACCAAATCATTTGACACAAATAGTTTGCTAAATTTTTTAAATTACTTACCTGGATATATAATACTAGCTTTGATTTCTAATAACTCTTTTAGGGACTTCATATAATCATAAAGGTCTTCAAACACAGTTGTTCCTTCACCCAAGATGCAATCTCCAGAGAAGAGAGCATTTTCTTCTTCTAAAAGAAGAGCCATGTGGTCATCAGTGTGGCCAGGCGTGTAGATCACTCTGGATGAAAGAAACAGGAGATGGTCACTATTAGGAACTCTTAGACTTAGAAGACATTTTGAGAAATAAAGTATTCTCTATCCTAGCCCTAAACAAGATGCAAATAAAGGATGCCAATGGGTTAAGCAGTCCCTTTATTTTCCCTTGTGAGCAGTGAAAACCATCATGAGAGACTGCTCACCTTTAACTAATCACCTTTCTTACTCTAAAGGGCAAATGCAATACTCCTCTCTCCTCCCCTCCCTTCCCCTTACTTTACAAGCATTAGGCACTGATTTTAGAGTATTTGAAAAATACAATAGGAAAAGTATTTTTTATTAAACAATTTTATTGGTATACAATTTATATAACACAATTCAGTAGTTCAATTGTATTAAGAGTTGTACAATCATCACCATAATCAATTTTATAATATTTTCTTTCTTATACTCATTGTTATTAGCTCCTCATTTCTCCCAAATTCCCTTGCCATACCTCCAAGAAACCATTAATCAAGTTAGAGTCTATGGATTTACCTATCCTGGATTTCATATACAGAAAAATCATACAAAAAAGAGAAAAAAAAAAGTAACACAAGACAAAGAAAAACCTTAAAAGAAAGCAGCAAATATTAAAAACCAAATTAAAAATGGGTCAAAAGGAGATCAAATGATAATGTATTAAATTTTAACCCAACAGTATCTGTAATAATCCACTTTGCAGTGCAGTCTACATGATAGCAAGGGTAGTCACATTCCCTGCCTACGGTCAGAGGGGATTCACTGATTCACCAGAGGCTTAATCCATGTGTACTTCCTTTTCATTTTTTTAAAATGGGAACAATTTTAAAATCAGTCAGAAGGGAGCTCAGACGTGACAGTTTAACCCAACGGTTGTGTTGCTACTGGTGCCATCGAGTCCTGTCCGACCCCTAGCAACCTCATGCACACAGCATGAAACACTGCCCTCCTGCCCGCCGCACCAACTCCGCAGCCCATTTGGAGCCACTGTGTCAATCCATCTCCTTGAGGGCTTCTCTCTGTTTCACTGCCCCTCCGCCTAAAATGATGTCCTCCTTCAGGGACTGGTCTCTCAGGATAACACATCTAAAGCATGTAAGACAAAGTCCCTCCATCCTTTCTTGTAAGGAACATTCGGGCCATATTTCTTCCAAGGCAGTTTGGTTTGTCTTTTTAGCAGGTACTTTTAATATTCGTCACCAGCACCATAATTCAAATACACCGATTCTTCTTTGGTCTTCCTTATTCAATGTCTGTTAGTCCGGGTAGACAAGAGAAACAAATTCACAGACACTCATGTGTATAAGTTTTATCCAAGGGGATGGACAACAGAAAAGTGGGTGAAAGGAGACAGCGGTAGGTGTATGACATGAAAAAAAATTAAAGTAAATTATCAAGGGTGCATGAGAGTGAGGGTGGGGAAGAGAGGGAAAAATGAGGAGCTGATACCAAGGGCTCAAGTAGAAAGAAAATGTTTTGAAAATGATGGCAACAAATATACAAATGTGCTTGGCACAGTGGATAGATGTATGAATTGAGATAAAAGTTGTATGAACCCCTAGTAAATGATTTTAAAAAAAGCAAATAAAAAGAGAGCTTTATATAAAGAATAATTGTACATTAAGAAAATATCCCAGCCCAGAAAATATCAAGTCCATAAGTCCGATATTAGCCCATATGTCCTATACCAATCTATAAAGTCCTCTTCAGACTCATGAAACACATGAAATGGCACTGAACGCAGGAAGATCACAGCCAGTGGGTGGGAAGTCTTGTGGATCCAGTGGCATTGTAAGCATCTCAGCGCTGGCAGGGGTCTCCATATACTTCCTTCAGCTCCGAGGCTCTGACTGCCATCAGCCTGTCTCCATGTGGCTTGTCAACAAGAATGTCTCTCTGGGAGTGAGCATGCATCTCGCCTCCAGCATGCGTCCTGATTGACAGGATAAACTCTATCCCTTCACTCTCCCCGCCCCCCCCTGTGGGGAGAAGTCAGACACTTGCTGCCAGACTGCTGTCTCATCCCACAGCAGGGCTGGGCCTGCTCCCTGCTGCTGGGGACAATGGCCTACTTCTCTCTGAAGCTTTGGGACCATTAGCTTGGTTCCTCTAGGTGGGGTTTACACCCTACTGATAATGTTCCTATGGAGACCCAGAGACCACCCTCTCATTGCTGTGTAACCTATAGTGCAGCCCCTTCCTGTGACGTATGTCTTTACCTGTAATTAGTGGGCTGGATTGCCCCCAAAAGGTATATAGGTGTGAGTCAGCAAGACTTCTCTCTCTGACTCTCTGACTCTGACCCTGAGCTCCTTGCTGCTCACTCCCTGCTCAGTCCCCTCTCCCTTGTTCCCCTTCCCTCCTTCCCTTCCCCCTCTCTCCACGTGGACCACCAAGCTGGGCTGAGGTGAGCAATGTTGCTATGTATCATGCCTGACTGTATTATTGTATTATCTCTCATGCTCTCGATGACTTTAATATAATACTTATATATCTCAACCGTACAATTGTGCATTATTGAACCCAGAAGTAGTATTACTGAACCAGTGAGTTCAAGCAGCGGGTGGGGGCTGGCACCTCACCCCCCAGCGACAATTTTATTTAATACTACACCCCCCTTCACTCTTAGTGCTCTTAAATTGACAACAGATCATATAACTACCACAATGTCCAACTTCCACATGCATATGAAGCGAAAATACAATGGCTTGGATCAAGTACAACTCAGTCAAAGTAGCAGCTTTGCTTTTTAATACTCTAAAGAAGTCTTGTACAGCAGATTTACCTAATGTGATGCATCTTTTGATCTCCTGACTTGCTTCCATGAGCACTAATTGTGGATCTAAGTAAGACAAAATCCTTGACAGCTTCAACCTTTTCTCTATTTATCATGATGTTACCTATTGATCCAATTGTGAGGATTTTGGTCTTTGTTGCATTCAGTTGTAATGTATACTGAAGGCTGAAATTCTTGATCTTCATCAGCAAGTGCTTCAATTCCTCCTCACTTTTAGCAAGTAAGGTTGTGGAATCTGTATGCCGCAGGTTATATTCCCTTGTTCTGTTTGTAGAACTGCCTCTTGATCATTGTGGTAGTTACATAATCTGGTGTCAACTTTCGGAGGGGTGGAGTCTAGCCTGTCAAACAAGTCACAGCTTGATGACCTCATTTGGAGGCTCCATAGAGATAAATAGCTCACTGGGAGGCCAGATGCATGTCCCTTGCGTTGTTCTGTTTGTAGAACTGCCTCTTGATCATTGTGGTAGTTACATAATCTGGTGTCAACTTTCGGAGGGGTGGAGTCTAGCCTGTCAATCAAGTCACAGCTTGATGACCTAATTTGGAGGCTCCATAGAGATAAATAGCTCACTGGGAGGCCAGATGCACACAGACTGCTTCATCTTTCTGCTGGCAAGACACATGGAGCTACACTTGAGTCCTGGAGCTGGAGGAGCCAAGTGGAGATCCCTGCCAGCATTGAGATGCTTCCATTGCCACTGGATCCACAAGACTTTCTACCCACTTCTTGTGATCTTCCTGCATTCAGCATCAATGCATGTGTTGTGTGAGTCTGAAGAGGAACTTATAGATTGGTAGACATATGGGCTAATATTGGACTTACGGACTTGATCTGGACCGGGATGTTTTCTTAATGTACAGTTACTCTTTACATAAAGTTCTTTCATATACACATATATGAGTGTCTCTGGATTTGTTTCTCTAGTCTACCCAGCTAACACAATCATGTACACATTCTGAATGAGCACCACCAAGTGTTCTGGAATTCCCATTCTTCTCAAGGTTATCCACAGTTTATTATTTTTCTGTTGGGTCATCTTTCTTTGGAATGGGTATAAATATGAATCTCATCAAGTTAGTTGGCCAAGCAGTTGTCCTCCAAATTTCTTGGCATACACAAGTGAGTACTTGCATCATCAGTTTGTTGAAATATCCATCAATTCTAGAAGCCTGTTTTTGGCTAATGCTTCCATTGCATCTTGAACTTCTTCCTTGAACACTCTTGGTTCTAGCTCACAAATTACTTCCTGAAATGGTGGAATATTGACTAGTTCAGTGGTTCTCAACCTTCCTAATGCCGTGACCCTTTAATACAGTTCCTCATGTTGTGGTGACCCTCAACCATAAAATTATTTTCATTGCAACTTCATAACTGTAATTTTGTTACTGCTATGAATCATAATCTGATATGCAGGATGTATTTTCATTGTCACAAACTGAACATAATTAAAGCATAGTTGATTAATCACAAAAACAATATGTAATTATATAGTGTGAAATATTTATTTCTAAATACAAATAAATGAAAATTTGTCTTGAAGCATGGTGTAGCATGGGTAACAGTCTTCACGCCAGGTACTTGTCAGTGGGCGTATCTGCATGTGGCGGACCTGCCTGGAGACAGATAGAGGAATAGAGGAATGGTGTCTCAGTGCCTAAGACCATCGGAAATATGTATTTTCCCAAAGGGATTGTGACCCACAGGTTGACAACCACTGGATTAGTTCTTTTTGGTATATGGAATATGGACTCTGTATAGTCTTTCGCACAGAATCTATCCATATTGCAACTTGAGGATTGAATTTTTTCTTGAGCTGAGCATGTTCTTCCTAACTACATCTGTGGTAATTGATTTTACAATGCTGTTTGATAACAAAGCTATTCACATCTCTAACTATAGTAAAAGGGGATTCATCAGAGGCTTAATCCATGTATGGATCCTGCAAATGGATTTTGGGCTTTTACTGTCATCTAGACCTTTCTGTAAACCACATGTTCACAATTTAGGTTCTGATACCATTCCTTCCTTTGAGTTTGGATTTTATTATTTACAGTCTTTGGATTACATAGGCTGGTATGTTTTTCCCATGTAGACTTAGTTTATACCTCACTTAGATAGCTGCTTGCCAGATGCTATTCTGTCTGATAGCTGGGCACCATCTAGTTTTTTTCTCTACACTTTGCTACAGCATTTTTAGTGA